AAATCACTAGTTTGGATTTCTTTTAGCACATATGGTGTGAGAAAAAGCCGAAAATACAGATGGACCAATAATTTTTGGAGCCACTGTATGTATTTATTTATTTATTTCTTACATCAATATTGATAACAAATTGAATATCTTGAACATCAAGACCACGAGCAGCAACATCTGTGGCAATTAAAATCATTTTTTGTCGTCGACGAAATTCATTCATAGTAAAATCACGTTGTGATTGTTGTTTATCACCATGAATACAAAGCTACAAAAACAAAATTATTTCTTATCTATTTAGAACATATAAAAAAATAGTAACGAAAGTATTTTAATTTCTTATAAAAATAAAAAAAGTTCAAAGATAATAAAAACAATGTTCTACATTTCTCTCATATTTGAATCATAATAATAAAATTTCAATAAAAATTATATCGTTTTTTGTCATGTATGGAGCAGCAGATGAGGGACTATTTCTCTAACTACTATCACATATCATAACAAATAGTTTTTATTGCAATTTTATTATTATGATATTAGGTTGAACAGTGATGAAATATGAGAGAAATGTAGAACATTGTTTTTGATATCTTTGAATTTTTTTTTTTTATACGGAATTAAAATACTTTCACCACTAATTTTCATATGTTTTGAAGTATTGTTTTAGAAAAATAAAACTTACAACAGGAAAACCCATTTGTTTAGTTATAAGATAAAGTTCATTAACACGTCGTTTAGTTTGACAAAAAACAAGTGTTTTACCATTTTGTAATTTCATTATTTCATGAAGTATTTCTATAAATCTATTTTTATATAATAAACAAAAAAAATGAAAATAATTTTTTTTTTTATTTTATTTATAAAATTAAAATATACCGATTTTGTTTTTGTGATTCTGTACAAACTTCAATTATCTGACAAATATTTGGATTTGCTGCTAAGATTACATTTCCAATTGTTACATGAATACGATTTGTGGATAAAAATTTATTAGCTAATTTACGAACTTCTTTTGGCCATGTTGCACTAAACATAGTTGTTTGACGATCTGACTATAAAAAAAAAAAATTATTTTTATTAAATAAAATTATCTACATACACGTATACGTTCACATATCTGACGAATTTGTGGTTCAAAACCCATATCAAGCATACTAAAGAAAATAAATATGTACAAAAGACAAAAAAAAATGATACATTACAAACCGATCAGCTTCATCTAAAACAAGATAAGTTATTCGATCGAGTTTTAAAATACCCTCTTCAATAAAATCCAATAAACGACCAGGTGTACCAATAACCACTTCAAGACCTATGAAAAACAAACAAAACAATCTTTCTTTTTGGTTCTAATACAAATACTTCTTTTTTCTAATGGTGAAATCAAAAAAAATTATAGGAAAGAGCTCAGCCTTCTGGCAATGCTTCTAGAAGGAGATCAAACTTTCTTTGTAAGTGGAAGGGGGCGAACCCTAGACCCCGTCAAATTGATCCCGAATACAGAAAACCGTATCTTCAGGGCGACTGTACCTACGGACTTTATTGAGCTCACATTGATTACGTCACTACTTTTCTCTTCTACTAACCACTTAATAATGAATTTCGTTGAAATTCTTTTGAAGCTCCACCAAAAATAACTGTTGTTCTACATTGTGCTAATTGTCCAAATTGATGAGCAACTGTATGAATTTGTTGTACTAATTCACGTGTTGGTGCCATAATAAGAACAATTGGACTATCACCTGGTTTAACAAATTCTTGATGACTAGCATGAATTATTGCTGGTAAAATAAATGCTAATGTTTTTCCTGAACCAGTTAATGCAATACCAATTAAATCAAGACCAGATAATAATATTGGCCAAGAACATGATTGAATAAGTGTTGGTTTTTGAAAACCACATTGAATTATTGTTTCCATAACTGGTTCTAAATTAATTGAAGATTTGTTTTTTGTTTTAATTATGAAGAATATTACCAGGAAAATTAGCTTCATCAAAATTAAATAATGGTCGTGGAGCATTACCATCAATTGTTATTTGATTGTTTGTTAAAAAATGTTGAATATCCATCTAGGATTGTTACAAAAAAAAAAAAAAAATTATTTTATTAGATTAGATAAAACTGAACAAACATTAATAAATGGAAGTATTTTTATTTTGAATAGAAAACAAAGTAGAAATTCATTCCGAAACGAAATTATATTTCGATCTCTAGTAAAAAAGAAAAGTTCAGTATTAAGACCCGAAATCTTCAGATTATGTTTCTCGATATTCACAATTTAAGTATACTTAAATGAAAATCTTTTTTGCATAAATGATATACTGTACAAATTTTGTTTGAATTCGTTTTTGTTTCATAAAACAAAGTACAATGTAATAAAGAAAGAATAAAATAATAATTAGTATAAAAGTTTAAGAATTCTATTCAAATGAAAATAAAGTCTATCTATTAAAAAATTAATTGAAAATACAAAAAATAAATTCTAAAAAGATGGAAAATTCTTTTTTTCGACCACCCCTATCTGAAATTTAATTGTTATTTCTATTCTCTAGAAATATATATATCATGCCCAACTTATTTCAGATCAACTAATTACTGAAACAATTATTCAATAATTGATGATATCATAATAAAAAAATATATATATATTCATAGTTAATTTTGTATTGTAATAACATAAATATAATTGAGATAGCTCTTTTTTTTGCTGTAGATTGTGCTTGTACAGTTAAAATATATTACAGACTACGAAAGATAAATTCAAAAATTAATTCCGTGAGCCCTTAAAGCCTTCGGTAGGTAAAATGTTTTTTTGACTTGATGTTAGTCATCGTCTTCGAAATATGCACTTGATTCTAAATGAAGCTTTTTTTTTTTCTATTAAATTAAAGTTCAGTTGTAGTCTGAATCTTAGCTATGGTACTCCGAAGTTTTTTCATCAAATATAGAACTTAATGTAGTATGAGTCGAACAATACTTATATAAAATATTAACGAAATACTTATTTTTAAAAAATTATATTTATGCTATTACAATGCAAAATTAACTATGAATATATAGTTTGTTTTTTTTTTAAGAATATCTATACCATAGATCGATTTTGTACGATAGGTGATTCCATATAAAAATTTTTTTCAAAATTTGATAAAGTCATTTGATTCCAATCGGGTTTTGGTGTTGTTAAAATAATTCCATTATTCTATAAATAAAAAAAAAAAACAATTATTCATTTGTTAATTCATTATTCTTTTTTTTTTTTAATTACATATCCATTTCCATAATTTGAATTAATATATGTTTGATATTGATTCATTTCGAATGGTACAGCATTATAATTGAGAGTCATCGATTCAATTTAATAATATCAATAAGCGAATGATGAGAATTATTGTGAATTATTTTCTTTTTTCTTGTTGGTAAAAAAAAAAGATGAATAATCTATTTGATAATACAGATAAATTAGTTAAATGGAATCGAAATATATCGAAAGAATTACAAATTAAAAATGTACTTAATCCATTTACTCGAATGTTTATTGATGAACAACTTGCAAAAGATCTTGGAATTATTTTTAATGGTTATTATCGAAATTGGTAAAAGATATATTTAATTTAATTTAATTTAATTTTCTTTTTTTAGCTATGGTGGATTAATCCCACTTGTATGTTTATTTAATTCTCGAACTTTCTTTTTTATTTATCTAATTTTTAGCATATTGCAGCAAATAAAGGTTTTATTCAATATTCAACAAATGATAAAATTGAAATTGAATATCGTTCAAAACAATATCCAATTATAACAAATTTAATTATTCATCAAGTTTATGATAATAAACATCAATGTATGATTTCATGTCAACAAGCAATTGATAATGGTTATTTAAATTTAGAATTATTATTATATTTATCAATGAAAATACATGAAGCATTTTTACATGGTTTTATTATTGGTGAATTACGAACAAATACAATTAAATCAAAATCAATTAATTATATTAATGAAAATGAAAATTTTGAATATGATTATTTATATTCATCATTAACAAATATTATAAATAATTTAAGTGAATTTCGTAATACAATAAATATTATTGATGAATGTGAATTAACATCAGATGGATTTATACGACATAAAATAACAAATAAATCTTATTTATTAACACAAGCTATTGAACTTGATCTTGTTTCAATTAAAGATATTTCTTTAAAAACTCAAATGGATAATTCGATAAATGTATTCTAATAATATTTTTAATATAAATTATCATAAATGAAAGTATTAACGAGGAAAGGTCTCGAAATAATAAATCACTTTTAAATTAGAACTATATTCAATCGATAGAGCCTAGCCAATAGGTAAATTCATTATGTAAGTAAAGTTTCAGGTCAAAATTCGATATCTCACCCACAAAGTTCAAACCACTCTACGATATTTACCTACTCACTATGCTCTATTGATTGAATATAATCTCAACTTCAAAGCGATTTATTACTTGAAGATCTGCCATCGTAAATTTAGTTTATTTGATCTGCTAATAGAATATCTCTTAGCAATGAAGTTTTTCTTCGTCAATTGAAGTCTGAAGTTTATGTTAATCTATAAGCTATAAAAATTTTAATATCAAAAATCTAAAATGAAAATTCTTTGACTTGATACTACTGTTGTTTTTTTGCAGACTATTATTAATGTCAAAATGAAATTTAATTTAATTTTTTTTTTGTGTGTTTTATATTATTTAGTATTCGACAATGGTCAATGATACGACATTATGCAATAAGGATATAAGTTGTACTAATAATGAAACTATTCCGGTAATTTAATTATTTTAAAATGTTTTTTTTTTTATTTTCTTTGATATTTTTAAGTATTTTTCGGATACATTTATTTTGGATTTATTAACAACAAATAATAATTCAATAGATGAATCACAACAAGATGAAATGCATTCAACAAATATAAAAAGATTTTTATCAATAATGAATACTTGTTGAATAAACTTTTGCGACATGTCAAATATTTATTATTATTTTTTCTTTTGTAAACTATATTAATCCACAATACAGATGAACTCTATTATTCTTCCACTCTTGTTATATGATCAAAAAGTTAATAAAATGCATTTTTTTAAAAATTTATTCAATATTCTTTTATTTTATTGGACAAAAAGCAAAGCAAAAAGAAAGAAAAGAAAAGAGGGTGTTGTTCGGAATAATAACTAGCGTAATGGTTTCAAATAGTCGTCTAGTATAGTAATAATAGAGTAGAAAAACACGTATTAAATCAAAATGGAATTTCCATTTGATATTAATTATATATTACCTTATGAAATAACAATATTAAATGGAGATTATCGAGTTCTTAATAAAGGACAAACAACTCGAATATTGTATATACTTGAATATCATTTCAATTTTTATCATAGTTATTTATTTTTATAGTGCTCCGGAAAAATTAACATCCATTATTGATGCCATAGGTGAAGCTTCGTATAGAGTAAATAAAAATTATCAATCTTAGAAAAAAAAAAATCATTAACATATTCATTATCTAATCTATATAGGCTCAAGGATTATCTAGTGCAGTAACAACTGCACGTAAATTTCGTATATCTGATCATCGTTTATATATTATTAAAAAGGCAAATGAAAATAAGTATGAGATTATTATTCATGAAATGATATATATTTATTTCGGTTGATTATTCAGTAATTTAGGTATTGTTGTTGGTATACTTAAAGTTGGTGAGAAACATTTATATATTTATGATATAAATGGTAAAGTATATGAACGAACTCCATTATGTGTTTTGGATTTTTATGTTCATGAAAGTAAACAAAGATTAGGTTATGGTAAACAATTATTCGATATTATGCTTGAAGTAAATTCAAAAAAATTTTGGTTCTTTTTTTTTTTGTTCTATTGTTTTGTTTTTAGTTTGAAAAATGTGCTCCTTATGAATTAGCTATTGATCATCCATCACATAAATGCTTAGCATTTCTTAATAAACATTATCATCTTTCAGCACCAATTTATCAAGTTAATAATTTTGTTGTTTATCCCGCATTTTTTAATCAATCTCCTAGTAAGTAGAATATAGAAGAAGAAAAACAAAAAACTAAAGAATTTTTGTTTTCAGTTGCTATTAATAGCAAATCTTCGGGGTCAAAACAACATCCAGAACCAATTTCATGGTTAGCATCAACATCAGAAAAACAACAACGTCGACCATTTTCAGAACAAATTGATTTTAGTCGACATCAAAAAATGAAAACATTATCAAATGAAAATGATATCTTTGGAAATTATCGACAACCTACAACGATTCGGTATGAGTGATTATCTGTATATAGAAGAAAAAAAAAGAGAAATGTTCGATTTTTGTGAAACATAATCTAGAAGCAGTGTTGAAGTATAGCGGTATGAATTTGAACTATCCCTCTCTCTCTTATGCAGTGTGCATCCGTGCGGACATTAGATGAAAAAAAAAGTTTTTTTTTTTTACGAATGCCAAGTAGAGTGGAAAATCTAGCAATCAAAACAAAACTTGAAAACACATTTGCCGTTAAAAAAATTAAATTTTTGCGTAAGACTCAACGGATGAGTAGGCAGAAATAGCACATATTCGGAACACTGACTAAGTGTTCTCTATCGGCGCTTAAAAAGAAATCTAAATTTCATCTAATAAATGTTTCTATAGTGATTCGAAGTATTCTTTTGTCTAATTTCTATCAATACAGTTAACACACAATGTTCCGGAACTTAAATATGGTTTTTTTTTTCAAGAAACCATAGTTTTCATATTTTTCCGATCCATAAAGGTTTCCATTGCACAACAATGGCATATTCGAAATCAAAGGTTCGCCGAAAAAATTCTTTATTTCCTTAAAAGCGGCTTTTTTTAATGATACGCAACCATTTCGTGGTAGAAGAAAGTCGTTTCCAAGAACAAAAGTCACATGTTCGTCTACAATGCAAAAAATGCATACTATGTCCCATAGACAGTGACAGATATCTTAGCAATCCTTCTCTTCCTGCGTCACAGATACTAACAGACGTAGATATACGATCACAAACCTTATATGAACTAACGGGTGTCCCAAGAAAAATAGGTCTCTTCGTATCTTATTGACATCTCCATCAAGTCTTATTCGTTTGAACTTAATTTTTTCTTTAAAAAGATTCACCTTGTTATCCTCTACAACAATTTATATTTCGTGTTTCATTCAAATGGATTTTGTCTTTGTTATAAGATGAAAAGTAAAGATTTTCGAAAAGTAGTTTTTTTTTGCAAATACGAAAATGGTGATGGTCTAACTAAGATCGTTCGCGATTTAAATGGATACTTGGGATTAAATACTACAAAAAGATCGTGCAAGATGATCCGTGAGGCCAACGGTCTTGGTCGGACTAGTAAAATGATCCGAAAAGTCAAGGACAAACTTGACCAAAAGAAGATAGTATCCATTCGAAGTTTGATTAAAAAATACGACATATTCAAATCAAGTGCTCATCGAGTATTGAAGGAGAACCTGGAATTCTATGCTTACAAGAAGATAAGCGAATCAAAACTCATCAACAAACATAAAGCCAAACGAAAAAAAATTCGTAAATTGAGTCTTCCATAATTTTCAAAAAGAAGATCCAATGAGAATTTTATTTTCAGATGAAAAATTGTTCGATATCGACGGCATATACAAATTCCTGCTGAAGCAAATAGAAGAGGTGGCATTAAAATAAGACCAAAGTTTCCTAAAAAGATCGTAGTCTGACTGGATGTTTACTCCAAAGAAGTAACATTGGATATTTCAACAAGACAATGCGAAATCTCACACGTTCATCACCTAACACAAATACGATGCATGGACAACTTTCCGTTGTTGATAGATAAAGATCATTGACCACCGAATAGTCCAGATTTAAATCCATTGAACTATTCTATTTGGAGCGAATTTGCACAATCTATCAATTGGAATAACGTGACATTGAAAGAGACATTTATTGAAGCAGTGAAATGTGCAGTCAAAAAAAAAATTGACAAGACATTGTTTTGCAACATTGTTCATCTTGGATTGTTCGTTTAAAGTGTGTATTAAAAAAATACACCATTTTGTAGAGCATCTCAAGACGAGTCTTTTTAAAACAAAAATTAAGTCTGAACAAACGAATATTACGAGAGATCCCATTGTCCCTGAAACATCTGTTATTTCTTTATTGTATTTCAATAGCCGCTATATTGTGTTTTATATTTTAATCCCATAGAGATAGCATTAATGGTTTTGTTTTTATAGAGCTTCATCTATGAGAGATGAATATCAACCTTTATCATCCTATACAACTTCATATAATCAACATTATAATCAAACTGCTTTGTTACGTGAACAAACTAATGCAAGTACGTTACTTTATTTTTTCTTTTGTTTTTTATTAAACATTATCTAGGTCATTTAGCATCACATATTCCTCGAACATATTCTCAAATTTTTAATGAAAACAAGTATATTTATGATTTCTTTACGATAGTAATTGTTGGGTTTTTTGTTTTTAGTCTATTTTCGAATCTTCAACGAAATAATACTACGACGATAATTCCTACAAATCATCAATCATCATCAATGAATGATTATCGTCGAATTGTTGAATCGATTCCTCATATATCTAAACCAGAAACACTTACATCAGTTTATACATTTCCATCAATAATGAAATCAACAAATAAATGGCATCAACAACAATCAACTATTGATTCATCTTCATCAGCATGGAGACTTTTCGGTGTACAATAATAATTTAATTCAAATGCGTATTTTTCTACTCACATAAAAAAAAAATATCACGAAGTGTCTAGTGATTATGCACATCTAAATTACATTTTTATCTGTACAATTAGAAATGAATTTAGATAATAGCGAAATCTAGATTTTTTTTAGTTGTCTATAGGAAAGTCTATGAAATATAATAAATGTATTAAACAAATTTGACTGAAGTACTATAGCATTAAAAAATTAAGATTTTTTTTTGCCAGAGTAATTAAAGCAGTTTCAATTGCATCAATCGAAGTCAAGGTCAAGTTGATCCAATACTCCATTGCGGAGAGATGCAGTTTATCATTTTTATATCAATGCAGATAATATTGAATCTAATTCAAATACGTACCAGAATGATCGTGAACTAAAAATTCTATGCTTAATTCATCGACTATAGAAGCTGAAATAATCAATTATTATTTCCTCTAATACAATGAATGGAAAGAAAGTCAACATTTAACTTTTTTTTTCTGAAACTATCGATCACGCACTTTTGCTTATATTACTTAAAGTCCAGAGTGATTTAAGCACTGCTATTACTTAGATGCTTTTTCAGATTGCTAGGAAAACTTGCTTCTTCAGCTCTCTGTTCCAATGGAAACGTATCTAATCTTTTCTCTTCCTACCGCCAGTTGCTAGGGCTTAGAGAAGGAACCACAAATCCCTAAATTTAAAATTTCCATTCACTATGATTTTCTTCGAAAATATATTTAGAAATTTTGAATCTATTACAACTCACGTTCTACTTATTAAGATCCGTTTGCATTGAAAGTTTCATAATTTTTCATTGAGTCCGTTTCCGAGAAACTTTAACAAGAGAAAGTTATTAAACTATATTCTAGTGACATCTATTTTTCATTAGAAAATTCATATATTATAAAACGACGATTTAAACGAATCAAAAAGCTTGTTCTGTTTCTCTTATAAATATAACTCATCGGCATCGTCATCATTCATTTCGTATTTCATTATTAACAATGTCAAATCCATTTTTAATTCTATCTGATTCATCATCAACTTCAACAAATCCATATTCAACAGCATCTTCAAAAGTAGTTTCAATCGATAATGATTCTTCTTCTTCGACTACAAATATTTATAAAGATATTCTTGAAGATGTTCTTCTATGTACCATCGATGAACAACCATCATCATCACTTATCTATTTAGCTGAATTAGCTATGGAATTACCTGAAAATTTCGATAAGAATTTTATTGATCAAGCTTTATTTGAACGTCTTCATATGATAGATCCATCAAGTCAATTATTAACATCAACAATAAAAAAATCAACAATAAGAAATGATATAAATATGATTACTGAAAATCGTTGTATACATTATTTAGTTGGATGTTATCAAAGATTATTACGACAACGTGTAAGTTTTTTTTGTTTTATTCTTTTTGATTTAAAATAAAGATTTATTTTATAGAATCATTTTAAATTAGTATTCGAAGATATTAGAAAATTATTTATTGATCATACAAAAACAGCAATTAGTTTACCAGATCTATATGATGGTCAAGATTTATCTAAACAATGGTTAGAATTATTAATTGATGGTCAAGGTAGATTTTTATAAAAATAAAATTTTTTTTTTAAAATTTTTTTAATCAATTTAGAAAATCCACTTTTATATGAGTATATTGATTGTATTAATAATGATTTTTTATCAGAAATAACCGATGAAATTGAAAATCTTTATAATTCTGTCTTTCGTTATATATATAAAATGATTCAACCACTTGATTATTTTTCTACTGAACTTATTACATATATTGGAGTATTAAAATATCTAGCAAAATGGCCAGCACTTGTTCGAGTATATTATTTTAAAAGAAAATAATAATATTTTATTGAATTATTTGATGTCAATTTTTTCTTTTAAGATTATCTTTCGATTATCTCATCCAAAAACAACATCTAATCGTTCTATACAACATCCTTTTGGACAATCAGGTGGTGGTCGAGCATTTGAAGATACATTAATTGGTAGTCTTCTTTCAAAATCATGTTTACCTTCATTACCTGGAAAACCTTATTTATTCTTTGAAAAACCAAAAGTAATGACCGAACATGATGTTGATTTAACATCTAAAACAATGTGGCAAGTAAGATTAACAAATATAATTTCATTTTACACTATAATCATGGATTATTGTGAAAGAATAATTCAAAAAAGATAGTAGTTACATACTAGTAGCCATTATTGTTATAATATAAAATCCAGTAGATCAGTTATAAAGATTTACTAATCCTATTTGAATAAGTCTCATTGTACTTTATATTAGTCTAGTGTTGTTGTAGATAGGATAATCATTTATGACCTATGTGAACTATTAAATACGAATAAAAAAATGTAAATCTTTGTTGAAAGAATTTTGTCTAAAACAATAATATCAAATGTTTGTCAGTAAAAGTGAACTAGCAAGAAACATTTGAGCTTGTAAATTTTCAAATCATTTCAATTTTACAGACAATCAATATTTATGTACAATGCAATGCTTTCAATCATGTATATGCTAATTTGTAATCATTCGCACTTCCCATTATTTCTCTAGATATGATTGATCGTTTAGATTTTCAATCTTAACTTAGAGATATACGTTGAAGAATCTCTTCTATAGATGAACTTTTAAAAACCAGCTCTCTAGAGATCTTGTCAAATTCCCATATACAAAAATTTTTGTGCTCCCATTATCTAGAGATTCTGAAGACTCGTAATTGATTTTGAACTTCTCATTCGCTTATAAGAGCATTTTTTCGTTTGTTGAGTCGTATTTCATCACACTGCTAACGAAAAGTAAATTGATTTTTGTTTAACAATTTAGACATGCTCAAAAAAGACTTTGCATAGAGATTTTGTAGTCTTAGAAGTTGTCTAAAGAATGTACGATTTAGTTTTTCAAAATGTTGCCTCTTATTATGAACGAAATAGATCTGTTTGTAATTGTTATTCTTTATTTATTTAAGCCAATGCGAACATATCAACAAAATTTATCTGATTTATTTTTGGCTTTTGTTAAAAATGGTGATGTACGTAATGATATATTAAAATGGATTGGTGATTGTTTAGTTGAAAATCGAGGTAAATTATATTTTTTTAATCAATATAACATCAAATATCTGTTTTGTTTTTAGGAAAAAATAAAGAATGGTCTTCACATAATCCTTTAACTGCATATTTATATGTTAGTGATGGATTTTTATTGAATTTAAATTTTATTTTACTTAATTTTGCACGACCCTTTTCGGAACCTTATTCACCAAAATTATTAAAAATTAATCCTATTTATGCAATTAGTCAAAATGAAAATGTTCATTTAAAAGGTATAATTGTTTTTTTCTTTTTTGTATAAGAGAAACAATTAATATATATTAATTGTTTTTTTTTCTCTTGATAGATCTTTATAAAGATACACCTATGATTGTTCGTGATGAAGAAAATATCGATGAAAAAAATAATACAATAACATTTAATTTTATAACAGAAATTTTTTTTATGTCACATCTTAGTTATTCTTGTTCAGTACAAAGACTTCATCGAAAATTATTAAAAGTATAAAATTTTATGAAACAAAAAATTTTATAGAAAAAAAAAAATTTTTATTTAGATTAATGAAGAATTATCACATGTACAACATGCATATAATGATGCAACTAGATTACATGGAGCTAATGATGAAAATGTACAAAGATTAGAAGAAGCAATGGAAAAAGGTAAAAATACAAACACTTTTTCTTTTCGGTAGATTCGCATCTTTAAATTAAAAATAAGAGAATACGCGGTTTTGTACGACAAAAAAAAGTACATTGAAGCAAACATACGACAGATATTTACATTATGAGTTAGTTCACTATTGAAAATGTTTAATATGTATGTAGTTAATCTGACTCAGATTTTCTATATAATTCTACTTCATTAAGTAAGTGAAAGAACTATTCAAACAGATCAGTTTAGATAAGGAAACAAATCCATATCCAATTATATCTATATGAATTTTGAATACTTAGGATGATGTTTTAAATGACATTATCTCTTTATAAATAGAAAAAAAAACATGATGATTCGGATGTGGGTACGAAGGATAGTAACACACGTACTCTACCGGGTGTTAAATAATCTTTGCCTTCCTCTCTACAACTTAAAGTATCGATAATATCACAAATGTATTTTATACCAAATTAAGGTGCGTCAAAAACTGAATGGTAAAGGTTATGAAGACCTTTTACTATCGAATTTAAGAGATTTTCTGAAATTTGATACTTTTTTGGTGTAAAAAAGTAA